GATGGGAGTTGCACTAGTTCAAAACATACGCATTTGATTGTCACGTTGCATGCATGACTATAATGATTTGTCTGTACAGTTTGGTAGGCTAAACCAGAGTATTAGCAGTTGATATGCTGCTTTCCATTGCTCCTCAGTGACGGCTGATCTTACAAACTGGACTACACTAAGCAGTGACTAGATGGATCATAAATGCATTTCTGTGCATTTCTAAAGGAAAACTTTACCAGGTTCCTTTGTGCTTCCTCCCAGGTAAGAACATACAGTACTATTTATGTTTAGTTGGATGTCTACTTATTTTGCAAGGAAATGAGAGTTGCAAAAAAGCAGGTGGGGTTTTGGGATGGCATTAAATTCACAGATGTACACATATATGTTTTTTGGTTTAGATAACAACGAAACTGGTGTGTTCTTTGGTTTTTGCATCACTAATATTACAGCCTGTCTAGAAGTAGGGACTGGCACTGAGCAGGCACTCAGAAAAGCAGCTGCTCTTTGTTGGCCAGATCCCTGGCTTCTGGTGACACACGGAGGCAGAAGAGACCATACAGTGCCTCTTGGCCAGCACTTGGAAGACTATCTATCTGCTCAATGCATGTTCCCTGCCACTCACATCTCTTCAACTCAGAGAGCAGTACCCAGGGTAATCTCAGCTATTTCTGATTGGAAATAAGAGTTGGGGTTGCCTTAACGCATGGGGCTCCATTAGCAAGCCCTCTCCCAGGGAAGCACCCAAAGACCTACACAGGCTGGCTGCTGAAACTCTGCAAGCCAGAGCAGGGTCATGATCCAGAAATTTTCTATTCCAAGTTTGGTGTTGGACAAGTTCTAACATCTAAAGTTAAGTTTAATCTAAGTTCTAGTTTCCCCTTGACCCTGAAGTTTAATTAATTACCATGGACCCTTGACTGGGTTCAGACAACACACATATTGAGTACGGGTTGAGGTTGGGTTGTCATTGAACTGTGGGTTGTTGTTGAGACATGGATTATCGAGTTGTGTATGCCCAGCTGTGCTCACAAACCATGTGTTAACCACAAACCCAACAACACACCATGAGTGTGATAACCCATGGCGAGGAACCCTATGTACTTCCTGAAAGTTCCTGGAGGAAAAATAAGCTATAAATTAGTGTATCAATAAGGATGCCACAATGGAAACAGCAACAGATCAGAAAAAGGGTTGCATTTCCTTGTTTTCAGAAATACGGTAAAGCATTGCCTTTCAAAGTGCAAATTTGGGGATAGTAAAATAGTATCTAGGAACCTGGTGCTCTCAGCATACCAATGCAATCCAAGTTGATAAGAAAGCACCAAGAACACCACTAAAATGATTGTGCATCCATTTTAATATTTTCTTCAGCTTCATTTTTGTGTGCTGTTGTATTGGCCATATATGTAACAAACCCTCTTTTAAACTAATGCAATAATGGTGGCACACAGAAGTTTAAGTTAATTAAATAAATTGTATGCTGTACAACATAATCTCCACACACCTTTGATTGCCAACAGTGAATGCATTGACTAGCTCTGTTGAAAGACACCATCATCATTAACATTGGCCAAAGAGGCCCCTAGAGGGCTTACTCCAGGTCAGTATGGAAAAAGACCATCCTTTCAATCCAAGGGACATGACACAAAAGGAAAGGATAATGAGGAAGTAAGAGGAAGCAAGCAAATTGGGTTCTTAGGTTGCCAAGTCCTTGTAGCAATCAGCTTGAATGGTAACAGTTCAGAGGATGTAGGTGCTGACCTCTCAGCAGAGTCCATGGAGTGGACTCTGTTTTTTACCCCTTCCTCTGCATTAGCCAAAATGGCAGAGAAGCTTCTGTATGAGTTGAGGTCGAGTTATAGGAAAGTTTGATCTATAGTGATTTACTTCTGATTGCTCGTTCACACACATCATCGCCTGACACAGCTAGTGAGTGATTAGTTCATAAGTGTGAACAAGCCCTTAGTAATATAAGCAAGTAAATGATACAATTCCCCTTTCCTCCCCAGCTTTCTCCAGCATTTGTATCAGAGGAGCAATGCTCACAAAGGCTGTTTAGCGGAAAGCTAAATCACGACACCTTGCCAAATCCAGAATGATGTAGCCGACCCACGTCCCTGGATTTTATGAAAGATGGTAAGATTTGTGGAGGAAAAAGCTCAGAGAACATTATTCTTGGTGAGCTTTGGCGTGCACGAGTTAATAAATTCTAGCTGTCTTGGCCCTTAGGAATTCAGGTCTGTCTAAAATTTCAGTTTTGTTTTTCACATTCTTTCCCTGGTGGAGCTTGAACTTGGAAATAGCATCACTCAATGGCTCGTTAGTTTGATAAACTGGTATAAGTGACTCAAGCTAGAATGGGTACCTCTAGCACAGAAGCATTTATAGATCTCTGGGGAATTCTGTGAAACACCAGACAGTCCTTGGGTACTGAATCACAGCAAAATGCTCTGAAATCTTTAATGTTTACATGTATATAAATGTGTATGCATGCATATTGGTATATCCACCTATTTATCTGTGTTCGAAACACACATACACGTACGCATGTAAACATTAAACAATCAAAGTATATGGCTGTGATTCAGTGCTTAAAGACTTCATGGTATTTTGCAGAATTCCCTTGCTTTTTAAAAAATGTGTGTGTATATATTTACTGTGAAAATGTCATCACTAAAATATGGAATAGGTTTCTCCCACTTGGTTTCTATTACTAGTAAAGCATTCAAAAAAGCTTCTGGAATAGAATTACCCATTGAATGCAAAACTCCACTGAGTATTCAAAGAGTCCCTCTGCTGGTGTTGTTTTCCATTTCCAATCCAGCATTACAATAAAAATGAGTAAATATTAATCCAGAGCTGTCTAACTTTTTGAGTCTCCCACACAATTGCTGGTTATCATGTTGTTCTCGGCAGCATTTCACCTTGAAGCTTTATTTATACAAACATGTGTCGGTATAAATTGTGGGAGATAACTATTTTGGTGGGAGGTCGTCCATCGAGATGTGACATATCTATCATCAGTGGGCCTCATGAATTGCCATATCCAGCCAAGAGAATAAGTTGCCTCTTTTAAGGGTTGTCCAGGTTGCAAGGCCACAAGGAATTACTGGGGCCAGATAGCAGCTGGGCAGGTTAGCAAGGCCAGAAATTAAAAAGGAAACGTCACAAAGGAAAAGCAAAGAGTGGATTTGTGGGATTTTTCACTGGCACGGCTGGTGCTCTTGTTGCATTCCAGGTCTCACCGTGCAGTGCAGAAATGACTTGGTGCCATAATTACTTCCTTTGAGCTGATCCCAGCCAGTTCCTTTGCCTACCCCTGTGCTGAGGGCTATGAAGAGCCAAGATGGCCAGAACCAGGTGGTGGAAAACTCATGCAAGTCTGAGTAAACACAGATCTGATATCAGATCTCTCCCATGGTGGCAATAATGGCAAAGAGGGAGCTGTTTTCCAGCACCATTGCATCTCCTCAGAGTTATCCAGTGGGGCTATTCCTGAATGGTTCGTACCCAGCTACGTTCTGGGACTAGGAGACAACTGGCGGGCTGCTTCGACACGTTTGTGCAGGAAGGCTGATCAAGCTGGGTCCAGGAGGTCCTTGAGAGAGAGAGTAGCATCAGCCTCTTTAAGGAAGATAATGATTAGGTCACTGCTCATCCCCCCACCCCACCCCACCCCACCGCCAAAACCTCCCAACCTTAACCTGGATAACAACTGGAGGACAGTGGCCAATGTTCCTTTCCTGGGCAAGGTGCATGAACAGGTGTTTGCCAGTCAACTCCAAGCACTCTCAAACGAAACAGATGGTCGAGATCCAGTTCAGTCACATGTCGGGCTTGGTTTAGGAAAGCAAGCTGGCCTGCTTGCCTTCTTGGATGACCTTTGTAAAGAGAGGGATGGGGGAGTATGACCGTCTTGCACCCCTTGAAGCAAGGAAAGGAAGGTGAAAGGCAAGGGTCCACCTGAGTATGCCTACTTTTTGGATGCAGCAACAGCAGCACCCAGGAACAACTGCTTGGTTGCTGCAGCAGCAGGGGCTGAGGATATGCAAGGCCCCTCGGTACCTTCTGCCCCGTTTTCTGGGGGTAATGGGCAAAAGCTGCAGGGATGAAGGTGCATGGAAGTCGCAGTGCCACCTCTTGCCCTGCACCACCTTTCAAAGTCCCTCTCAAAACTCAGAGATGGGTGCATGACAGACACTGGCTTGCCCCCGTGCCTCCCTGCTTTGTGCCCACAGGTGCCCAGCAAACTGAGGGTGAAGAACTGTGGGTGGGAGTGGTGCATTCACTCCTGAGGAGACCCAGACAAATGCACCCCATCCTGCCCTTGCAGCAGGCACAAAGATGGGGCAATTGCAGCTGTGGGTGGGCAGCATGTTCAGTGGGCCCCTTCCAGAGAGACCCAGTGGGACACGCCTCTGCACCCTGCTCACAGCCTTGATCATCCCTCAGTCTGTTTGTCCCACCCAAACATGCTGCCTTCCCTTGATGCAGCACTTCCAGGAACTGCAGCAGGTGTGCGTGGGGGGGGGGGGGGGACTTGAGGATGCTTTTCCCTGTCATAGCCATGCGCAGTGGTGACCCCAAGATGTGCCTGCCTCCCTCTGCTTCATCTCGGTGAGTGGAGGGGGGGCAGTTCTCTCTGCCCCTTCTTTCCCAGCCCTTGGCCCCAGCCAAGCAGCAGCTTCTGCATCCCAGTTTGGTCTCCCCGCACTGTGCTCCTGCTGATGCCAGAAGACTTGGATTGCTGGAGGGCAAGCCCAATTTCCCAGCACAGGCAAGGAAGTGGATGACTGTTGATGCAAGTTGCTGCTTCCAGCGCCTGTCAGGCCAACTCTCCTGCAGCTCCTGTGGTGACCCCTCAACACTGGCAGGAGAACTGAGGATCCCACTGGGCCTGATCATGAGTTGGCCATAGCTGGACCCCGTTGGCAACTTTAATCCCTGGTGCTTCTCCACTGAGCAGTAAAATCAGCTGACAACTTCAGGCAGCCACTGAAACCTATAGATACTGACCACAAATGTTTATTGACTTGTTTATTATTGCATTTATGTCTTTCCCTGATAAAATGGGGCCAACTAGAAAGGGCAATAATGAAGGGATGACAAAGTGGCAGTTGGATCCACCAGCGCTTGTCTCTTGACACAGATGGAAGAACAGCACTGAGCTGTCTGTGAGGGCTTCTCGTGTTCTCATCTTGCAACAACCACCTAATACATTTCTGTGATCTAAAAAAAGATGGCAGGAGAATAGGAAAAGCACAAAATGATATGGAGATGCTTCATAAATTGGGAATGGTTGACACACATCAATCCCCCATTATCACCCTCATCATCCCACCTAATTCAGCATGCAAGGAACCCAAGGTAACTTACATGATCTTTCTCCTCTCTATGTTATCCTCACAACCACCTTGGGAGTTAGTCAGTGAAGTTCATGGCCGTGACAGGACCAGAACCCAGATGGGCAGACACCCAGCCCAGCACTACTGGTCACACTAATCCAGCAACCGGATGACAAACAGCACCTGAAATAGAATGTCACCGAGCAGAGTGCTCCTTGTAAGGGTGCCAGCCAGCCATGCAGTTTTGCAGGCACCCCGTTAAATCCATGTTCCCAAAAAGGATATTCAGCATTCTATCTTCAGTGAGCATGATCAATCCTCATTAGGGATGTTCTCAGGAGCCTCCCTGCTCCCCCTCCTTTTTTTTTTTTTTTAACTTCAAGAAACTTCAGGGTTCTCCAAGCCTTCTGCTTTCTTTCTCTGGCACATGAGTGGTGCCATTTTAGCTACATAAGTTCAGCATTTCACTATTGGCAAATACAGAATAACTGAATTTCTGCAGGACAAGCCATCCTTATTTTTTCCCAAAAAAGCACATTTTGGTCGCATAATTTTAAAGTTACAATGATATCATTGCAGTTCATGAACCCGTGAAAAATTCACTAAAATTTAATATGAACTCCATGCAGGATATTTTTAAAAGAAAAATGCTATTGAGTAAAGGTACAATCAACTGGAGGCTGTGAGTGGTAGGTCTTTTTTCTGTCAAAACATGCATAAGATTGCACCCTAAAAAAAGCAGTGCTATTCCTTTGATTCCCTGTTGTCAATTTGCAATGGGTTATCTCTGTGAATAATAGGTTTCCATACTCTTATTTAAATGTTCATGTGGTGGTAAGAAACGTCTCTGAGTAGGCTGCGTTAGATTCTTTAATGCGGCACAGTGCAATTATATTGAAAATATTATATAAATCGCAACATGTATTAAATGTCAAAATACCTATTCTGAATTATGAATCGAAATGACATTATTTAAAAACATGTGAGAAAGGCATCGTCATAATTATATGTTATCAACACAGAGACAGATTAGCTATTCTTTTAACATAATTAATTTTATGCACAATGCATTTGTTTGTGGTATTTGTCATTATTCATCAATATAATTATGAATCACTAAGAACTGTTTTCAAGAATCTTCTAAGTTATTTTAATTGCCTGTTGAATTTCCCTTATATCCATCCTTCAGTTCCTACCTCAGCTATTTATTGGGTGCTATCCAGTTTCATTCAAGCCACGGTGTAGATTTCCTTCCATTTTCTTTCATGTCAACCCCTTTTTTTCTGTTACCAATTCGGCAAAAAATCCAATCTGGCTTGCACATGGATGTCATTGAACAGTGCCCACTACTGAGACAGTTAGTGTGGCTAATTATGAATCTTTCCCCCACCCCAAAAGAGGACGTATAGCGCCATAACAAAGAGCAGAAGAGGGCACCTATTTGCATAATATTTGCATGTGTAAATATATACATGTAGATGCAAATTTAGAGAATTATAATAATTTACATAGAAACATAGTGCATCTCATGGAACACAAAAGATCTTTGTGCCTGCCTATTCCAGCGCCTGTTCAACTATGAAGTGCTAAGCAACCATTAGCCAGAATTGGGCAGGACAGCCTTACAGTGGAGGACTAGTCCCTGCAAGAGACGATACATGGCCACCTGGGTACAGTCCTTTCCAGTTTCATCCTTACTTCTAAATGCAGACTCGGGGGCACCCTGTAGGTTTAACTCCTTGATTAACTCCAGGGACTCCCCTTTCCAAAGGTACTTTATCTAGCTCATTCCATCATGGAACTCATGCAAAGCTGCATACAATGGATTCGCTAGATTTCCTAGGTATTGACCAGGGCTATTTAACTTCAGCAACCCTGCTATATTAACTGGCTTCTCACCACACTCTGGGTCTAGTGTCCATTCAGCTGGAAGACCTGCCTCTATTATTGGTTTCCTGCCCTTTTGCTATGGGTGCTAGCAAGTCAGAAAACTGCTGGTGCTCGAGGGTTGGAACTTTTGAGTATTCTGACTGAAGAATCCTGTCTGCTGATAGGATGTTTGCAACAAGGGTTATTATGTTCAAAGGTCCTTCAATGTATGCCACAATTCTGAAAATATGCAGAAAATGCTTAGTTTTATGAGAGACTCACTGTTCTTAAGATCATTGAAACCATCCAGACAAATGAAATGATTATGATGATGAGGAGGAGGAGGAGGAGGAGGAGGAGGAGGAGGAGGGGACTTTCAAGATTAAAAAACATTATTATGGCATTAGCTTTTATGGGCTATAGTCCACTTCCTCAACTGTAGAATGTGCATCCTATTAAAACCCTCATGCAAAGGTGATGTCCATGAAACAAGGATCTGTTGATTCCTAATTCTCATAGATGGCAAAAGAAGAAGGGGACGGCAGAGAATGAGGTGGCTGGATGGAGTCACTGAAGCAGTTGGTGTGAGCTTCGGTGGACTCCGGGGGATGGTGGAGGACAGGAGGGCCTGGAGGAATGCTGGGTCGAACACGACTTTGTGACTAACAACAACAAATTCTCATCTACCAATGTACAAAACAGCCCCATGACTGAAGCCACATGATGTCCTGTACAGCAGCACTGAACACAGCAGCACTGAATGCTTGCCAGAAACTGCGACTGGCCCTCTTTGAAGCCTGCAGGGCATAAATCAGTATGTAATCCATTTCGACTTTAACCCAAAATAAAAGAATAAAAGAAGCAGGCAGTGGGCAATACTGCACAAGCGCACTTAGCATGGTAAGGACCAACATCAGTGGGGAGAACTAAGGAAGACGACCAATGGAACATGACGCAATCTGGCATTATATGCATGTTCTAGGAACAGACTTTGGAGCTACTGGCAAAGGCAGCCCAAACATGCTGATGCGCCATTCTTGCCTGAAGGCGCTCTTCTACTGTCATTTGGGCATTTGAGCTCAAAAGGTTTCATCTGGTCTCAAAGAAGAGCCAGTGGAAGGCCAAACAAAGGAGGACAAAGTGCACCTGAAAGGTACCTCCCACACGCTCTGTTACAGCCTTCCCAACCCAGTACCCTCCAGGTGTGATGTGTTCCCCTGCAAGCCCCACTGGGACAGGCTGGCTCACTGGAAGTGAAGGGAAACAGTCCAGCGCATCCAGAGTGCATTCCACATCAGTGCTCCACATCACATCCCGTCTGCCCCAGTACGATTTTCTCCCCAAAATAAATAAATGAATTATTGTCTCATTTTGCTCCAAAATGAAAATGGGAGCAAGACTTTACTCCTCTGCCTCTGACCAGCAATTAAAACTAAATACCCTTTATCCCTCTCCTAGGCTGTGTTCCTAAGCTCAGAGGACAACTAATGCAGCTCTTTCCATGGCAGCAGAAGGACCAGTTGGATTTTCAGTTCCTAGTTCTGAGGTTGGCACATGGTCTCCATCCCAGAATTCAAAATATCCTATGACCCATCGAAAGCTGTTCAGGGTCTCACAGGATTACTCCTTCCTGAAGGGAGGTGAGACTCGATTGTTCTAAGCCGTATTTCTATTTTTCATTTAATGAGCAAAAAAATAAAAAAGTGTGAGTTATATTTATGTGATTTAGACGTAACTGGATCTAGCCTGAAAGGTACACACCCTCTTTATCTGATTTAAATTTATGTCCAATGTTTAACATCAATAAAATAATTAAGACTATAAGCCCTAAAGTATGGGGCATCAACTAATATTAATTATGCAGTAATTTCTATGCAAAAAGGTATGTGCCTGTGCTGTTTTATTTATTTAAAACTTTTATACCCTATCCACCACTGGCATCTCGGGATGGCTTACACTATTTTAATACAGGGGAGATTATTAGAAGTCCACCAGATCTGCATAATACTGAGCTGAACTGTCTATTATGTATAAAAAGGGGAACTGGTACTCAAGTTGAGATCAAGATCTTTTTAAGCTCTTAGAAACGGAAATCTAAGACCAAGAAATGTTTAGAGAATATTATTTCCTATTAAGATATTAGAAACTTAAGCAATGCTGTTTAACATCTTTTTTAAAAAAAATCAGGTAGTGTATATTTCAATATGCTATTTATTTATTTATTAAAACATTTCTATGCCGCCCCTTGCCGAAGCCGCACATTTCCAATAAAAATAAAAATTGATTCTTTCTCGCTAATTGTTAGTATGAAACAATTAATTCAATTCATTAACAATGCCTGATGCATGCTTTGATGGGAGTCCACTGATCAACTGTGAGTGAAAGGTTTCCCAAAAAGAGGGTATGGACAGGGCTTCCATGGGAGGTGGTTGAGGGTGTTCAAAGATAAGCTAGACATGCACATGGCGGGCAGAGCTGGCTGGAGCCGGGGGTCAGACTAGATGGCCCAGGAGATCCCTTCTGACTCGCGCTGTTTCTATGTTTCTATTTCTAAAGAACTATAATTTGAAAACACTTAGCAAAGGCAAAATCCAAAATGTGTTGTTCTGCGTCATTAACTCTATGGTGAACCTCTCCAAAATGACAGCCTTGTTAAGGGCTTGTAAACTCAAGGTTGTGGCTTCCTTTATGGATTCCCTTCTTTTCATATTTGGCCTTTTTTTTTCTGCTTCTGACTTTGACTTTCCCTAGCATGGTTGTCTTCAGGGAGACTTACCTTCTCATTATGTGCCCAAAGCATAGCAGCCTCAGTTCTATCATTTTTGCTTCTAGGATAATTTCTACCTTTATTTGAACTCGGACTCATTTGTTCATCTCTGTCACTCTGCTATGTCACCATGTTTTGAACACATCCATTTTCTTCCGGTCATTCTTCACTATCCAGCTTTTACACCCATAGATTGTGATTAGGCACACAACAGTGTTGATGATCTTGGCCTTGGGCTCCAAGTGAAACATCCTTACACTTGATGATATTTTCTAGTTCCTCCATTGCTGCTTTTCCAATTCTCAGCCTTCCTCAAATTTCTCGGCTGCAGTCTCCATTTGAATTGATGACTGAACTGAGCTACAGGAAATCTTTCACAGTGTTAATTTCTTGTTGCTAGCAATAATGTCCTGTACTTCTGTGTTCATTATTTTTGCTTTCTTAATAGTCAGCTGTAGTCTTGCTTTTGCATAGAAAAAGGACTCCCATCACCCAGGCCAGAATGTCCATGATCAGACAGCCTGAGGGCTGCAATTCAAAACAGCCGCAAGGAAGCAGACTGGAAAAGGCCACTGTAACTCCTACAGTGTATTGTTTTTTTGTTTGCACAAGTGAGTGAGAAGAGTTGCGTCTGCGAGCGACCTTCTCCTAAAGCAAAGGAGGTTACAAGGGAGAGCGCGCTGGGACAGCACCATACCGGTAAGCTACGCATTGTTTATTTTAAAAAAGCTCTTCTCCCCCTCCGGCCCCTCTTTAGCCAAAAAAGGTCTCAAAACCTTTCTAAAAGTATCAGTACAAAGGTTACCAGGAGTCCCACCTACATAATATAACACACAAGGGAAACGGGGAGCAAAGGAAGGGACACGCGAACGCAGCCCCCGGTCTTCCAAGTTCCACTTTGTTTCACGAGGCGGCGAGTGAGAAACAGTTTCTTTGCTACAGAGTGTCGGCCTGGCTGGCGTGCCTTTTGTTTCAACCCGGACTTCTGAACTTGAGGATGCTTCAGTGACTCGGAACGTTGTCGGTTACCTTATTGTACCTACGTTGAGATGATTGATTTTAAAGAGGATGAAGGCGGGGGCAAAAAAGTATTCCAACTAAGCAAATAAAAACTGCGGCGTTTCGAGCGCCGAGAAAGAGATACATTAAAAATGACCTCTGTTCAGACAATTTGACAGCTGAAGCGCAGTGGAGGGGAGAACAGAGAAGCCTCTGTCTGCGCATCTGGAACAAAAACAAGCCCCAAGGTGGCAAAGATCTTTCTTATTACACCGAAAGCCAGAACGCGGCCTGGCTTTCCGGAGAGCTGCAATCCTCTACCCGCTTACCTGGAAGTTGGTCCCAACTGAGCTCAGAAGGCTCATGGCTAAATAGACTTGCCCTAGACTTGCACCAAAGCTCCCCCAGTGCCTTTGCTCCATTCTTGCCTTGAGGGCAGAGACGGGAAAAGCGTGCTTGGCTTCAGCTCCTACAACGGAGCATGCTCAGCCCCTCCACATCCGTCCCCGCCTTTCGGTTTCAAGGACGGGGGTGGGGGGGAGAAAGAAGCTTTCCTACTGCCAAGACTCCCCTTCCTTGCTTTGCTTTGCGTTGCGTTGCGTTGCATTGCGGAGCGCGCCAGGCTTCGCGCATGCCAAACTGCAACGGCAACGGCGATGAACGGGGGCGCCCCGAGCGACCAGCCCTTCCCGGGCGCCGTGCAATGTAAGTGGTTGCGCAGCTTATCCGCGCTCCGGGGCCCGGGCGTTGGAGAAGCCGCCCGGAGCCTGCGCTCGGCCGGGCCCCGAAACCTGAGTAGCGGCAGAAGAAGCGAGCGCGTCGGCCGAGCCCGGGAACCTGGCTGCCAAGCGAGAGCGGGCCCGGGAACCTGGCTGGGAGGCGCCGCGAGCTGGAGCAGGAAGGCGGGCGCGGGCGGGAGAAGCGGCGAAGAGCTTGAATCTCGAGAGGCGGGAAGGGAAGGGAACGGCGGCTGCCGGTTCCGCGTTCGCGCGGCTCGCTGCGTGCAGGCTTGCTGCAGCGGCCGCCTGCACAGCCCGGGGGCGTGGGCAGATGCAAGCTGCGTGCTGCTTCGGAGCCATTTTGACGACGTCTCTGCAGCGTGCCGCGAGTGCGAGCTGCCTGGGTTGCAGCGAGCGTGCCAGCTGGCTGGCCGCAGCGCTTGGGCAGCAATCCTGTGCATATTGGCGGGGGAGGCCTACAATTCCCAGCCTGTCCCTGGTCATTCAGGATCAGAACACGAATAATGCGTTATAAGTAGCGATGTGCAGGCCCGGCGGGGAGGTGGGGGAGACAAGAATAAAGAAGAAGGGTTTCGTTTTATTTGGCGTGCGGGGCAGGGAGATCAGGAAAGAACTGTATTTTTTTGTTTTTTCCTGGGTCTTCACAGCTCTGAGTGTAACAAGGAACTATAATGCTGCTGGGAAAATTCATTCACTGCTGTAGCCCTGCGGATGGCAGCTCCTCTGGGAATGACGGGGGATTGATGCAGGTGGTGGGGAGGGCACCGGGCGGAAAACCTCAGAGTCCCTGTGATATAAAAGGTGTGTGCACTGCATCCGTGCAAACCTTCATTCTCCCACCTAACTGATAGAGCAGAAAGTTACGGACCAGTGTATTAGGGCGGGCTTCTGTTTAAGCCCTAGCTGGCTAATTCATGGAAGAGAAGGCTATCAGTGGCTGCTAGTCCTGATGCTTCCTGTATCAAAGGCAGCATTCCTATGTGCACAAGGGGGCGCTGGTTACTCATGTCCCACTTGTGGGTTTCTGGTGGTCAACTGGTTGGCCACTCTGAACAGAATGCTGGACTTGATGGACCCTCAGACTGATCCAACAGCTCTTCTTATCCATCAGCAAGCAGTAATTGCAGGAGACTACTTGGAATTCCATGCAGACCAGGGAGAGGATCAGCAGGGAAGGAATGGAGCATTCTTTTTCCGTGCACAGTATTTCTGTGGTGTAGTGGAACCAGCTCCCAAGGCACTTTTTACTATCGGGGATGCTAACATCATCTGACCCCTGCCCCAGCATACACAGCTGCTACCTTTGTGGATGAGGGGGAATGAATTTTCCTAGCAATAATACCTTGTATCCTGTTAGATTGCAAAGAAGTTGGACATGGCTTGGTCTTGAATAGGAAGCTAAGATCCATTAGCTTAACAGGTCCTGCAGTTGATGCGGATAGTAGAAAAGGTTCATTGATACAGATCAGCAGCACAGCTGCCTGAATTTTGATGGCAGCTTAGAAATCATGCGGGCTGCTGGAGGTTAGCTCTAGCATCCCTGCCAGCCTAGAAAAAGCCCCCCATCCCAATTGAAGTAAGTAGTACATACCTCTGAATGACATAGATAGAATTGTGGGGGGTACACCTCAAAATAAACCTCTTGAATTGCAGCATAAGGAGAGCATCTCTCTGCTTTTCCAGGTTTTATGTGTGTATGGCCAATTCTACCCATGATTTAGCTTCTAGTAATTTGTGGAGGGAGTGAAAACCTCAAGAATGACTGCCCAGAAGATGAAATTAGACCCAATTGATGGAAATTGCAGGGAATATGATTTTGGCAAGGAGACGCTTCCTAACTCAGAGAGGTATCCAAGCATGGAACAGACTCCCTTGCAAAATGGATGGCTCTCCAGCCTTTGAGAGTTTAAGCAGAGGTTGGGTAGCCATTAATCTGGGATGTTGTAGCTGCAACCTGGATTGTAGATCGTGAGTTGAGCAGGAATCGAACCAGGTGATCATCAGGGTTACCTACAACTAAATATTAGTGCTCTAATCACTTCCTTCACAAAATTTTATTGTGCAAAAATATAGCCCAATGATACTGGTGTAAGTTCTAGAAGTTATTGATGTCTCATTCTATCATCCTAGAGACTGAGAAATTACATCTTGGAATAGTTGGCCAATATTTCTAGTCTAGTGTCAATGTATTAATGTAAGCCTTCCAGAGACAAAAGTGATGGACGGCCTAGAAATAACCCAAATAAATATTTGCACCAACACTAAGGGAATATACCATGACCCGCCGCCCCATTCACTAAGTGCTTCCTTTAGTAATCTCCATTAGAATAATAACTATTACTACTATTACATTTCTATACCACCAGTTAAGTTCTCTGGGCAGTTCACAACATTTAAGTCACCCATCCAGATTTCAACCAGACCCAATCCTGCTTAGCTTCCAAGATCAGGCAGGATCATTAATACTATGCCAGAGTCTCCTCCTCCACAAGTACTTAATTACTAGATGAGAACTTTGTTTCCAGTAGCTCATAAGCCTTTTAATCATAAAGCATTTCATCAATCGTTCCTTGGATGACTATTACTCAGTCCAACCCGTGTATTTCACAGTTCCAGGAGGCACCACTGTCCTCGTGGAACTCACTCCAGATATCCACATTTGTGGTCTGTGCAAGCAACAGTTCAATAACCTGGATGCTTTTGTTGCTCACAAGAGAACTGGCTGTCAAATCTCGGGTGCAACAGCTGGTACCACCAGTACGGTGCAGTTTGTGGCAGAAGAAACAGTTCCAGCAGCACAGACCCAAACTGCAACAAGAACCATCACTTCAGAGACCCAGACCATCACAGGTAATATCCAGGTGCCACTGGAAGGTGTTCTTAAGAAAGAAGTAGCTGGAACAGAGGGCTTAAATCTCCCCTGTAGAACAGTACCCAATCAAGCCACATGTTTACTTATAAGTTACCGTAGCTGATGGCAGTTGGGGAGAGGGTGTATGTACTGTTGACTCTGAACTTTCAAGGACTTATACCTGGTTCTGAACCTGTTTGGGGAGTTCAGCACCATGAATAGCTCCTTAGGGGTTCAGACTAAGACCCAGAGTGAATACAACACTCCAAACATTGGATCCACCTGCCTCCACTGCTTCATAAGTCAAAAGAATGAGTGTAAGCTGAAGATTATGTATTTAATGTATTATAACTGATAGCCAGGTTCACACAACATGCTATAATCCCAGTCAGAGGTTGTATATTTAAAACAGCAGCTGAACACGCCTCACATGCAGTCCTGCTAATTGTGATTTAATTAAGCCACAGTGACCTGCCACATTGTGTGAACCCAATCAGTGCATGGAATTCCACTGTTAAGGGTGCTTCCTATACATGTTTAGATAAATAAAAGTCCTACAACTGCTATAGTGCTAGGTATTGTGGATTTTTTTTCTGTTTAAGCATGAATAGGATTGTGATCTAACTCTCATAATGAATTAAATATTCACTTCCAATTGGTCGTTTTATTGGATTAACTTGGTGGTATGTCTCTTACTGGCCAGGAAAAAAAATGCATTGGACGTCTCAGTATTGAAAGATTTTTTTTAATTACATGTTGATTTGCATAATGAATTGCAATGTTCAGGTGTTAAAATGTCATCATCGTATGCTTTTCAGTTTCTGCACCTGAGTTTGTTTTTGAGCATGGCTACCAGACCTACCTTCCTGGTGAGAACAGTGAGCCTCAGACTGCTACTGTGGTCACCACTCCACCAAAACCTCGCACCAAAAAGTCCACTGCATCAGCCGCACAAAAGAAGCTGGACTGCTGTTATCCAGGTAAAGTACAAGCCTTTGATAAAGGATGAGACAATCTGGGTTTGATAGAAATGTTCGCTTCCATTGTTTGGACTGATTGGTCACAGAATTCTAGAGCTGAGACAGACCTCAAAGGTAATCTAGTCCAATCCCTACCACTGCAGGAAATCCACTGCCGCTGTCTCCCCTGATGTGGTGCCCTGCAGATGTGTTGGACTGAGGAATTCTGGGAGTTGGAGTTCAGCACATCTGGGGGGGTGCCAGCTTCAGGAAGGCTGCAGTGCTACAGCATTCTTAATAGGTAGACAACTAGCCTTTCCATCAGAACCTCTAATGAAGGCAAGTTCGGCACCTCCTGTTCCACAGGCTACTGCTGGTCCCAGGTTGTAATTTTGATCTTGGGTAGGAAACGTTTATCTCCTCGAAGAATACGAAAGCAACATGGTGTACTGTAAACTCCCGCACTGATGGAAGGAGGTGAATTGGCTGCTAGTCTTTGAGGTGTCTTTGAAGAGCATTTCCTTCCTATTAGCTAGTGTCTGATTGGCATGAAAATATCTGGAAAGAACAAAGCAGTTCCCAATTAACGAGGCTCAGCTACCGTGGGAGGACAGGTTTTGAATACACATTGATGCAGGAACATTTCACTTAGAAAGATCTGGCTTATCAAGTCAGACCATCCCGTCTGTCCATCCCAGTATTTTCTGTTCCCAGAATATAGCTCTCCAAACTTTCAGGTATTTTTATACTGTGCAATAGCTGAAGCAATCTGGGCAGTTCACAGCCTACCAAGGAGATCCTGAAATGCTTTAGCAGGGATTAGACCTAAGGCTTTATGTATGAATCACATAAGCTCAGCCATTAAGCTGTGGCAATAGAGCCTTCTATAACAGCTTTCTACAATAGCCAAGTGCATCTTTGCATTTGCCAGTCATATCTTTTAGGGCACATTCCTGTGTATGTGTAGGTAGAAGAAAAGGGTGTTGTGATCTCCATCATGATTAGCCTATTGGCACTTAAAAATAATACCATGAATTGCATTTGACATCCTGCATTGTTTTAATCAGTGGCATAACCAGAAAATTCAAACAGGTTCCTGCTAGTGGCTTTTAATTAATTTATTGAACAAATGAACGTGTCTGCATGGAGGAAGTTGCTGAAAACAGAACATGTGCAGATGTACATCTGACCGCCACTGTTGGCCTGTTGACTGGTGGTGCTATGAGCATGGATACCACAGAGGACCTGTGGAATTGGCAAACACTCACTTCTGGGTTTACCTGCCACCGTTCTGCATGCAGTCGCAGGACGGCAAGGATCAACAGAGCTGCGAGCGGGTCCTCCTTTGGGAGTGAGGGGAGCTTTTAATTGTATTTCTGCAGAAGTCTCAGGGGCATCAAAGGACTTTGAAACTTGTGAATTGTTCTTTGAATTGTATTTACATTCTGCCCACTGCGCCGCTCCTCTCAGATGGAATGAGGAAATAAATTGGCATCGCTTAAATTAATTTTAATGAGTGAATGACATTAACACAAAGTTCCAACAAGATTCATGGAATGGCTTTTTAATTAATTTATTTAGCCATTGATCATACAATGCCAAGTCACGGGGGAGGAAAATATCCTTCCTTGTTTGATTAGGTCAGTTAACTTTATTTTAAAAATATGCAGTCATTGTCTTAGAATCTGTCTCTGTTTGAAAATCTTGACTGAATGTAATGGTGTGTCCGCAGCCTTACCGTCTCTTACAATTCAAGCACTTACAACTCAAGCAACACATCTGAAGACTTAGCACACGTGGAAGAAGTTGTTGGTGTGGTGTAGTTGAATGCAGCCTCTCCAATCTGGTGCCCTCCAAGTGTGTTGGATGGCAACACCCATCATTCCCGGCCAGCACAGACAATGGCTTGGAATGACCAGGACGACAGTCTAACGTGCCTACCTGCTGGGTACCACGTTAGGAAAGAATCATCTGAGTATAGAACATTGGGCCTCAAACAAGAGGAAATGGGTTAAAATGCTTATTTCGGTGCAAAGATTGCTGCAACGTGCCGAGGAAAGTCAGTCCCTTTCAGTGCTGGATCTGCCTCTCCAGGACCTGAGTATGGCCTCTCCTGGGGAGCCCAAGTTGGTTCTGTCCTCTGCCATGCAGTGCAATGACTGAGCGCCTCGATGCAGTTCTATGTCAGAGGAGCTGCCATATCTCCTCCTACCATTGCAGTGGAGAGCAAAGATGCGGAGCAAGATGGCTCTGCTTTGGCTCACTCCAGCATGAAATTGTGGGTGACACTTTTCTGCAAGCAATTAAAGGAAAGCACAGAAAGCGGGGGGGGGGTGGATTTTGTGACTACAGCTGGGGCAAACTATTTTGGAATCTGTCCCTCTAGTGCTCACAGACTTCCTCTTGTGCTCAGCCAGATCCTGCAAAGAGAGCAGGCACGAGTTTGCGAACCTTCACAAACCTCTGGTTGCACAAACAACGACCTTCCTTATTAAGAGAAGCTTCAGGATGCACAAAGGGGGCATTGTGAGTGGGGGCACCAGCCACCTTTCCTGAGGAACAGCCGTCTTCCCCACTCGCTTCTGCCTGCAGTGGCGCACAGGAGAAGGATGCGTCACAGGCAGGTGCAGCAGGCGGCCTTCCCAGCTCCCAGCCTTTTTCCCCACTTGCTACTGCCAGTGGTGGTGGCACTCAGGGGAAAGGGGTTCTGCTTGCATAGTGCATGGGTCTCGATCCCTGGCAAGCTCTCTGCAAACACTGGGCACACCTGGCAGGAACTCGGCCTCTGCTCTGCTGCAAAGCTGATCAGAGCTTAAGGAGCCAAGCCCAGACTAGGCTAGACTGTAAAGCTCCCTGGGTCACTGTTTCTTAGTCTGATCTACCGCACAGGCTTGTGTGAAGGGGTGGGCACTGCCTTGACTGCCTTGATTTCTGGGATGAAATGTGGATTAAAGATCAATCAAGAAATAATAGATGGTGTATGATTTTTTTTCCCAGGCTGTCAGTTTAAGACATCCTATGGTATGAAAGACATGGAGCGACATTTAAGAACACACACAGGTAAATAACTGGAGTTACAAAGGCTAATGGTTCTTTTAAGCCAGTGGACTCACATTTCTTAAGAGCAGTAAGTAATTTAGCAGTGGCTGGGACCACAAACCATCTTTGATTCCCACCCCCTCACATATGGACATCTTGCTAGGAAGGGACAAAGATTTCCCAGGATTTGTATTGTTTCACTGCAAGATGTCTGCAAGAGGAATGCAAAAACAATGGCTGGGTTCAGACAGTACATTAACCCTCATCTCAGTTGAGTATCAGTTGTCATTGAACCATGGATTGTTGTTAAAACATGGATTATTGTATTGTGTGAACCCAACCGTACTAATAAATCAGGATTTGCTAACTATGAACAACCCATAAAAAGAAGCCATAATTTGTTGTTGGGTTATAAACTGTGGGTTATTCAGGAATTATAAACCATGGTTTGATAGTGAATCTGGGTTCAAATAACACCAACCCATGAATGAACAACAACCCATGTTCAGCCCTTTATTATTATTATTATTTATTATTTTTCAATTTATATCCTGCCTTTTTCCTACAAAGGGCTCAAGGCAGCTTACATCTCCTCCTCCATCTTATTCCCACAGCAACAACCCTGTGAGGTAGGTTGGGCTGAGAGTCTGTGACGGGCCCAAAGTCACCCAGTTGGCTCCATGGCTGAGCGGGGACTCGAACCCAGATCCCCTGAGTCCCAGTCCCAGGCTCTTAACCACTACACCACACTGGCTTTAGTATGCATTACTGTGTTGTCTGAACCTAGTTTGATGTTTCAGCCACTGCTCACTTACTTAGGTTTCCCCATCCTCCCCTGAAATGTTTGCATTGTTTTCTGAATTGCTGAAAAATGTTCCGACTATTTTGGGGAGGGGGAGAATCGATGGCAATACTAGGATACACCTCTTTTAAAATAAATAAGCTATTAATTGGGAACCTTTAAAGTCTGAGAGACTGAAAGCCTTTCCTGCCAGTAAATAAAACTTAGGACAGTTTCTTAGAATGGAGAAAGAGCTACATGAAAGCTGAGAAACCACCGAATGGTTAGTGGAGGTGGTACCATCTGGGAAATCCAGAATGTGGCAGTAGAAGGGTTTGAATTTGCCCCTGTGTCTTTGCTTCTGTATCCTGATCTTGCCCAAAGTACTTGTTCCTCTGACTAACCCAGGTCGTTCCCAGCTCTGTGCTATTTTTAATTGGAGAGGCTGGGCAGTGAAGCTTGGACCTTCTACATACAAAACATGTATGTTGCTTTTGTTCTTGAACTAAATGTAAATATTAATTATCTGCATTAAACAAAATAAATGTCCTATAGCAACAAAATCTTTTCATGGTTATTAGTGTAATTTTGGTGTGCAAATATGGGTGAATATGTGAGAGATGTAATTGCATGCAGTGCTGCAAACAGATGTCGTTCCAAAGTGTTGTATCTTTATTTGCAAACATTCCTGATTTGCTAGAAGAGAGACAAATTATCATAGACAATATCCCCCAGTTGTATGTTTCAGTAGAGGATACATAACTTGACACATTCAGGATCCCCATCTGATCTTCACCCTGCTTCCTCTTCCATGTTGGGCTGCTGCTCTTCTTTTTCTAGGTGACAAGCCCCATAAATGTGATGTTTGCGGTAAGTGCTTCAGTCGCAAAGACAAGCTAAAAATGCACATGCGATCCCACAGTGGGGTGAAACCGTACAAGTGTAAATTCTGCGACTATGCAGCTGCTGAAAGCAGCAGTCTGAAGAAACACCAGCGCATCCATTCCAATGAGCGCCCTTTTAAATGCCAGATCTGCCCTTACGCCAGCCGTAACTCCAGCCAGCTCACTGTCCATCTTCGATCCCATACAGGTAAGTTGAATTTTTTTTCCTTAAATAGCAGCTTCGCTTGAGCAAAGTTTTTTAAAGCTTTCTTTGCCAATGTCAAATACTGTAAAGTCACCGAGATTAAAACTGTGACAAAGATCAATCTGTGGTTTAGAAAATTAAATGTGCTGCTGGCATTTTGACTCTGTACAGTTTGGCATCCAAAAGCGGACTCTTGGAACATGCAGTGCACTGGGCTTTCATCAGGAAAGTAGGTAAAAATCCAATAACAGACTCTTGCAATGCAGCCAGAGGCAGTTGGAAGGGTCAGCCTGTAAAATACAATGGCCTGGCAGCCGGTGTATCTTCATTAATGGAATGTGTATAATAAACATTTTACACCAAGGGTCTCCATTATTACGGAGACACATAGATTAGCAGAGCACAGCACATCATAATTTGAAAAATCTTCAGCCTGATCAATGAAATATGTAAGCAAATTGTGCCTACAGTTTTACAATCTTCCATTTATGAAGAACTATAAAATATTAACTGGTAAAGTAAATTAAACTATATGTGCCGGGCTTCTTAAAGAATAGCAGAAGGAAGTTGACAGAGGCACTCCCTATGTTTTATTCCAGTCTTAATCCATGCCAAGAAACTTTTTTGCTCTACCTCGGGGGATTGAGGGATAAATAGCAAAGGAACTTGGTTCAAGGCACTGACGGCAGAAGTAAGCCAACAGTGCTGTTCGGAGAAGTGGTATTAACAATAATTAGCTGTTAGCAAAACGAGAACCCCACCGCTCATACCGTGAAAGCTATTGATGGCGTGAGGTTTCTACACTGTGGCTGTGAGGAGGCAGTTGGAATCAGCTGTGGAGGGTGGTCTTGCAACTTCTTCCTTGCTTCTTCTGCGTTCTTCTCCAGACATGTCAATGCATTTCATGTGCTTAAAAAAAAAAAAATCAAAAGAGTATCTATTTTGCACATTTGTGAATGTGAGGTCATGAGGCACCCCCAAAAGGATATTTCTGAATTGGGAAAATGGCCATCAAAATGGCAAGCATGGTTCAGGGTGGGCCCAAAGTTGTAAAAATGGGCAACGTTGAGGCTGAGCTGTCAGGATCTGACCTAGAGTGCCTGATCAAGGAAGAGACCTTGGGGTGGTGTTGGACAGTTCTGTGCAAATGTTGACCCAGTGCATGGCTGCTTTGAAAAAGACCAATTCCATGTTAGTCATACTTAGAAAAACTGCCAATACCCCACTGCCTTTAAACAAATTGATGTTATGACTGTTCTTAGACTCCTGTGTGTCCGATTCTGGTCAGTACACCTAAAATAGATATTGTAAAGTTGGAAAGGGGTTCAGAAAAGGGCAACTAAATGATCAAGGAGTTGGCCCAGCTCCCTCAAGAGGAAAGGTTGCAACAGTTGGAATTCTTTAGCCTTGGAAGAAAGGTGAGTAAGAAGAGACATGACAGAGATGTACAGTATTTTGCATGGTGGGGTGAAAGTAGATAGGGAGGTGTTTCTCCCTCTCTCATGGTGCTGGAACCAAGGGTCATCCAATGAAACTGATTGGTGAGAACTTCAGGACAGGTAAGAAGGACAACAGGGAAGAGGAAGTGAACCTGTTGACTTCACTTGTACAAGATGTAGTGATGGTCAGGTTTGGAAGGCTTTAAAAGGAGATGGGACAGACTCATAAAGAAAGCTATCACTGGCTATTAGTCTCGATGGCTCTACCCAAGTCCATTGCCAGAGGCAGTATGCCTAGGGAGCACCTTGAGCAGCAAGGTGCTGTCGTTTGTGAGTTTCCTGTGTGCAGCTGGTTGGCCACTGTGGACAGAATGCCAGACAGAACAGACCTTAGCCTGATCCAGCAGGGCTTTCCTTAGGTAATGTCTGAGTCACAAGTAGCACTACAGACCTGTATCTGTCTGCTCAGGAGTAAATCCCACTGAGTTCAGAGGGCCTGATTCCCAGGTAAGACTGATCTACAGACTGTCCTTTTCCTAGAAATATTCCCTTTTTAAAGACATTGGTTGACTGGGAGAAGATTTCCACTAAGGACAAAGCAAGATTTACTGCATTTCTTATGGTTTTTTACTGTGGCTTTTCAGGGCGTCAGAAATAAAGTGCTGTATTTGCTCCACTTTGATATGGGAGCAAAATGAGACCTCTGGCATTAGAGGACCAACTCCACCACCCTTAGTTGGCTGGTTGTACTGCATTTTCTAACTATTTGGAAACACATGTGCTGACCAGGCACACTTACAGGCCCCTTCCCAGACCTTCGTGTCCCTCACATGAAGTTCTAACCAGAAGCCAGAGATGCTGGGGCTACATTGTGCGCATAATGGAACAATGCTGCCAGGTTCTGTAGGTTTTCTGTGCACCTTGGTTTGCGTGCAGCCCATGCTGGCAAGTTGTGAGATTTGTTTGGTTAAACAGAAGTCCAGTAAGCTGTGTCCACTGTGAAATTGTACCTGCACAATGCTGTTATCGCTTGATCCTGATGTCTGTAATTGCAATTCAAATTCACTTGTCTTGTGGGCAGGTGATGCTCCCTTCCAGTGCCATTTCTGCAGCGCCAAATTTAAAATCAACTCGGATTTGAAGAGACACATGCGCGTACACACCGGGGAGAAGCCCTACCAGTGCGAGTTCTGCGACGTGCGCTGTGCAATGAAAGGCAACTTGAAATCACACATTCGCATCAAGCACAACATGGAGAACACCTTCCGATGCCTGGAGTGCGAATTCCAGTGTGGGAACAAGACAAGCCTCCGGCAGCATCTGCGCACCCACCAACCCGAGCAGCCGGTGAAGTGCTTGGAGTGCAGCTACTCCTGCTCCAACAAGGCGACCCTCAAGGTGCACGAGAGAATCCACTTCAAGGATCGCCCGTTCAAATGCGAATTCTGCAGCTTTGACACCAAACAGCGGAGCAACCTGACTACACACATGAAGAAGGCACACCAGGATAAAGTCAAGGTTAAGAAGAAAACCACCGATAAAATGGAAGGAGAGCGGTTGAAGGAAGGTGGCTCTAGGCAAGTTGCCAAGCTGGAGGCCAAGAAAGCATTCAGATGCGATCTCTGCGAGGCCTCATTTGTCCGAGAGGATTCTCTGCGGAGCCATAAGAGGCAGCACGTTGCACTTAATGGGGCTAAAAATACCGAGCTGGCCGTCTTGCAGTTCCAGATGGCCCCTGATAGGTCAGCTGGTGCACCGATCACCGTCAGCCATCTCCAGGTGCCGCTACATGCTGCCTCTTATGGTGAAGGACAGGTCAAGATTATAGTTGGACACCAGATGCCTCCAGCCAGTGGACTGGTCCAAGCAGCTTCAGTCAACATTGTGCCTCCTGCCTTAATAAGTCAGAGCCAGGAAGACCTGTCTGGCCATAACCAGCTACAGATACTTCAGCAAGTGAGCTTGCTTGCGCCTTCTCTTCCGTCAGGTTCTCAAGCCGAAAGCCTTGCAGTGGGCCAGCCGGCAGTGCTCCTCACAACCCAAGATGGAGCTGACCAAAGCACACCGAGCCAGGCCCTGATTCCCACCATCCCAGTGGGCAACCACGAAGTCCCAGCCAGCCAGGCTTTCATCAATGGTGCTGGGATAAGCTGCTCAGACTTGGAAGGACTCAGTGCTTTGATTCAGGAAGGGGCAGGAGAAGTGACCGTGGTGAGTGATGAGGACCCGAGCATTGCGGGATCAACATCGGCTCCACCTATCTTTTCTTCTTCTTCTCTCCCAGATGCATCCAAGCAAGCCTACTCCATCATCCAAAGTGGAACTCATGCAAGCTTGCTCTGTCCTGCAGACTCCATTCCAGATTAGTCCAGGGAAGGCCAATCCAACACCCTGTCAGCACATTAAAGGCAGCCCTGGAGGCTTTCATGGTTGGGATGTAGAGTTGAGCAGGCAGAGACAGTGGAATCTCGTAGCTCCAGTCCATTTCGCTGCTCCATGCCTTCTCGGAAAGAGTTCCCTTACCATACACGTAGCTGGCCCAGGGATGTTGCTGCCTGTGGGACTGGAAAGTCTGTGGAAGAGCACGAGATTCTATGATGCACTGCAACTTGGTTTTTATAACCTGATTACACATGGTTCATTTTTACCTTTTCCAGCTCTGAACCTCTTGTTTGGTCCGGGACAATGTTTCACAACCAAAATGCTGCACATTAGCATTTCTTGTGTTACATGAACATTTTTGCCTTAAGGAACTATCTGTGAAAGAGGTTGCATTGCAAAGATCGTCAAGCTTTACAACCAGCTCTAGCCTTGATAAATAACCTAATGCAGCCTTTGCCAATCTGGTGCCCTCCAGATGTCTTGGACTACAACTCCCATTATCCCCAGCTAAACTGATTAAGGTTGGCCCAGTGAACCCCATGGAAAAGTATGTTTCGTTTTTTTCCCTGTCTTTACTTGCAGTTTGCAAACTTTCACTTCACTTCGAACATACACATATTTTAAACTGAAAATAATGACATGATCTGAAACTAAAATTCTGTGTTGGAATGTACTACAGTATAATCTTGCAGGCACTCAGGAAATTGGCTTTGCTGAAGTGCCCTTCATGGTATCTTGCCATGAAGCCTGGAGATAAGTAAGAACATTCTTAGTTGCTTCTGTTAAAGCTTAGGAGCCAGGCCTAAGGATTGGCTCAAAGCAGCTGCCAGTCAGATACACAGATATCAGCTCCACACAAATATCGGGTGATCTGTATCCAGGCTGGGGAGCAACAGAATAAACCTGAACTATGTGCCATTGTCTGCTGGTGCCAAACTGTGTTGCCTGAAAATAGAGTAGCGCATTCCACACATGAGCAATCTTGTTTTACAGCCATGGCACACATGCTGCCGGTGTCTAACAGTAGGGTCAGATGTTGCAGATTGGGGGCATTTTGGCAGTAACAGAAAGAGCTATGAAGAATAAGAAGCACATGCGTCCCGCCGTTTAATGGGCACATGAAGGAAGCTCTTCTGAGGAGCAGAGGTCACCCCCATTTCTGCAGTGTTCAGTGGAGTGAGTGGCTAATCCATGTTTTTGAGGCATGAACCAATGACACAACGTGTCACCTGTCGAGCCCAACACTAAACTTCGCAGTGCAGCCCACTATGAACTTCTGGTAGGCCTCAATAAAAATGTTTGACTTGGTGGGTCATGTTATATTGGTCCATATGAGGTCATTGTCTTGGAGTAGTTTGATCCAGAAATGGTTTTTTCGGCTTGTATGCAGTACGTGTGTGTAGAGAGATCTGCATTCCACTTTTTACTTGTTTTCCGCATGTGCACTGGGGGAAGGCTGGGATGTGGTATTTCATGTCATCTGTAGGTGGTGCTAGAACTCAAGCTGAACTTTGAGCCGAAATGCATTACTTTAAGGATCAGTTTCTCAGTAGCTGCTTCCTGCCAGAGATGGAACAGTGCTGCTTCTTTCACCATAATCCATGTACTTGCTACAAGTGATAACTTTCAAAGAAAAGCAATTCTTCCTAAGTGGCCCTTCATCAAAAAGTTAGCAATCTATTCACCAGAACATAGGGATTTCATTAGAGGTAATTAAAATTAAGCTGGCTTGAATAGTGCACAATTCAGATTTGTGGAAATGGTGCAGAACCTAGGACTTAGAAATGCAAATGTGTACGTGCTCACCGACACATATATCAAGCCAATTTCTCACCATAAAGTTAGCAAAACAAGGGACCAGCTTGTAATAACTCTCATTTGTTCCTTCTGCGCTTGCTCTGGTAAAACACAAGTGCACGCATCAACAAACCGTGAGTGAAACTCCCTGAGGGACCTAGATGAATCATTTATAACATCAGACCTCTGCTCTAATCCCTACGAGTTTCTCATGCGAAAGTGTGACCAAGAAACTAACCCTTGGCTTGGGTAAGACTATGCAGTTGGTGCTGATTTGTTCTGGGCTGAAATTGCTCATTTTTATCACGTGAATGCCAATCAGCAGTGGAGCTCATGTGAAAAGGTAGCTTTACCTACTCGGGTAAAGTATGCTACTCAGAGTTTTTGGCACAAACATGAAGAAGCCAGATGCATCTTGGTTACAGGTTGTTGGGTTTTGGGTTGGGGGCTGGGGTTACCCACAATGTGCCTCTTGTGTTACTGCAGTACCAGTACTCTCCCACACAGGAACGTAATGCCACAAGCAGGTTCTCTAACCACACTATCCGCCGTTCACTTTTTCGCAGAAACATGTATTGGCCTTTTTCAGTGGTAGCAAACGGGCATGTTTGTCTCTGGTAAGGACCGACTGGCCCATGACCCTGGGTTCTTGAATAGTTCTGTCAGATAAACAGGAAAGATAACCTGGGCGAAAATGAAGAAGGTGACAATTCTCAAGTGCCGTTCTCTGCACCACACTGGGTGTTGTGTTTAAAGACACTGTTTCTCGGAGCTCACTTTCTAACAGAAGAAGGTCTTGGCATCAGCTGAGTGGAGTTGATCTCAGGGTGTGATCTAATGGAAATTTAATCATTGATGAGTAGAGAGCAAAATCTGAGCAGAGAGGCCCAGAAAAGCACATACCCAGTCATATCCAGTGGTTGCTCAAATGGAAAGCAACTTGCACAACCAATCTTTTCCTTCCCTCCTGCCCCTTGTATCCCTGCAAAAACTCCAGTGTGGGAGAGGGGTCTCCTGTACAGCATGGACTGTGTTGGACAGAATCACATTGTGAAGGAATGTCCTAAAAATTAAGTAGGAGACATTGTGCCAGCAAACATCTGCTAGCACGAGGTTCCTCTGCCTGATTTTGGACAATACGCATCTCCTGCTGCAGTTCTGTTTGGTGCTGCCCACACTTCAGCAGGGCTCCTTCCACCCCCTGGAAAAGGGTATGGGGGGGTGAGAGACAGGTAGTTGTCTGAACCTTCTTCTACTCATGTGATTCCTGGATGCAACCAATTGTCTGTAGCATATACATCCAGATTGTGCTTTCTCATATTCATGAAGCTCAGTTTTTGGTGCTGTTGCAGATGGGAGGCTTTTCCTGAATCTACAGAAAATGTCCTGTTACTCCCCATTATGCATAATATCCTACCAAGCCTTAATGTGATTTTATGTCCATTAAAGTCATTGCCATCAATTATGTTATTTCATTGGGAGCACTTAGTGGAGAGCTTCCAATATCCACCCTCCAGTTGAATTGACAACCATACTGTGATTTTTGTGTGCCAGTCTCCCACAGCATCTGATCTCATTAGTTTTCATTTACCGTTCAACACATCTTCATCCCTCTGTTGCTTTTGTAAGGAGCAGCTCTTTGCAAAAATAAAAAATGAAGTCTTTGAAAGGCTTTAATAGTGCATGCAAGTCAGCATCTTTTCATATTTTTCCTTATGGCCTCAATGTAGTCTTTGAAGGAAACCAAGGTGGTTAACATGTTCTTCCTCATTTTATCCTCACAGCGGCCCTGTGAGGCAGGTCAGACTGAGAGGCAGAAATTGGCCCAGAGTCAGCTGGTAACTTCATGGCTAGAACTAGGGTCGTCAAGCCCCAGTACTCTGTGCTAACTGCTGCACCACATGGGCCTTCACTTGCAGATTCTGTGGTTTCATGGAACAGCATTTGTCTGTAGAGCTAGTCACAAAGACTTCTGTCAGGAAGCCTGCTCAGAACTCTGCATACCTACTCAAGTGGAAGCAGGCTGGTTTCCACCTTTCCAGCCTTTCGACAGGCATTAGAAGAAACCTTTGTTTTTCCTTTTGAGAGTTGCATCCTCAGTTATTTTCTGTTCCCTCTTTTTTTCTACAGGGTTCTTTATTATATGTCCATCCCATGAGTTTTCCTGCTAGGAACTCAAGACAACTTAGATAAACCTCTCAATTTTATCACAACAACCCTGCAAGGTAGGTTAGGCTGAGTCAGCAACTGACCCAGCCAGGAGGCACCTTTCAGAAGAGATCCCCACCCCCCACTGTTGGACATGGCCACCCTCCATCCTGGTGCCTTTACTACTGACTGCTCCCATTTCAGTGACTGCTACCGTAAGTCCTCTTATGTCACCGGTTCCACTGGACCTATGTGCTGAGAAGGGCCAAGATAGGCCTGTAGAAAGGGTCTCGACTGTCTTCTAGATGATGGCCCTGCTTCTCACAAAAATGCTCCTGCCAAAAGTTGCAGGTGCAGGTAATCACCCAGAAACACAGCACACTTCTCAAGGCCTTAAATTTCCAGGCTGTTCATAAGTAAACTTAGGAAAACCACCTGCCTCTTAATCTGTGTCCATCTTAGCTAGTCCAGGAGGTGGCTGGTAGACCAAGAGGTGAGTGAGCTATTATGCCTTCTCATCAACACCTTCAGAAAGGGCAGGTAACCTCCCTGCTTGAAGGAAGCTATTGTACAGCCGCTCCTTAAGAAACCAAATGTGAACCCTCTGGACCTTGACAACTTCAGATTCCTCTCAAATATACCATTTCTTTGTAAGGTGATTGAAAAGGCAAAGTCTCTTCAGTTCCAGGCAGTCCTGAGTTATACTGACTTTCTGGACTCATTTGAAACTGGCCTCAGCGTGGAACGAAGTTGAGTCTGCTTTGGTCACCCTAGTGGATGATTTATGACTCAGAGTTGAAAGGGGCAGTGTGTCCCTCTTGGTTCTGTTGGATCTCTCAGAGACCTTCAGTGCTATCGATCACAGTATTCTTCTGGATCATCGGAGGGAGTTGGGAGTTGGAGGCATGGCCTTGCAGTGGTTCCGTTCCTACCTGTCAAGGTCAGTTCCAGATGGTGATGCTTGAAGGATGTTGCTCCTCTAAGAAGGAGCTGACCTGCGGAGTCCCAAAGCGCCATTTTGTCTTTAATACAACGACAAAATTGGCATGGGCAGCAGGAGCCTAGAAAGAGGTACGGTCAAGGGGCAGGCCATAGTCAGGAACTGGGGGTGCAGTTCCAGCTCCAAACAAGGCAGAGACACAGTCACGGACAAGCAAAAGGTCAAGAGTCCGGAAGGCAAACCGAGCAGGCACCTCAGGCAGGGTAACCAGGCAGGATTCAGGAGCAGCAGCAGGAGTGCAGGTGAGACAAGTAGGGAGGCACGAACTGGGTCAGGGGAGATGCAAGCCCTGGGGCTCACTACCACAAGCAGGAAGACCTGTGCTGCTGAGGCAACGTGGCACGAATCAAGCAAGACGTTGGAGCTGGACCACACAGCAGCCAGCAGGAAAATCTGCATTACTGTGAAGGGAAGAGCTTGCTCTTACATAGCTTTCCCCATGGGTCTCCCAGCCAGCGCTCATCCGAGGGCCAGATCCTGCAAATCCTGCCGTGTCCTCTCTGGTTCTGGCCACCAGATGGGGCCCTGGAGCTGCCCAGACCTTGACGCAGAAGTTTTTCTGGGCAGAGGCAAAACCCCTACATGCGAGTCTACAGATGATCGCTCGGAAAGCCGTGCTTACAGGCCAGCATCCTGTTTGTGTTCACTCAGATGCCCTGTTTATCATGGGGTCAGCTGGCTAGTGAAACCAGTGGGGTTCCCTTTAGTCGGTTTCATCATATTAAAATTTTACATAATTTTTGTGTCATTGTTGTAAATCCAAGTATATGGAGAAAGAATATGGGTTTTAATTGGAACGAACACACACACACATACACACACACACGAACGAGACAGGCAGTAAAATTACTTTTTGGTGATGACTTTGCATGGAAAGTGCTCTGCAGAGAACAATTTCCTCATTGATTAGCTTTCCTGGTTAATAGCCTCTATGGCCATTTAGTGGACAGTTCAGTTTTACATTCATATGTAAATCCT